AAGAAGCTATTAGTAACAAGTGCATCGCTTCTAGTAACAAGTGCCTTTCTAGTAGTAACAAGAAGCTATTAGGAAGAAGTGCATCGCTGAAGGTTTTACAGTCGGCTAAACCAGGCAAAAGGGTGCAAAAGGGACAGGAACTGTCACCAGGTCCATGATCCTGACCCAAACAAGAGACAGTCACACGATGAGGCTCAAGAAGTTGGCAAGCAGCGTGCTGGAGCTTTCTTGCATGTTGCTGTGCCGTTTCTGCCAGGCGAACCCACCGTGCGTCCCCCGCCGAGACCCCTCCCTGGTTGCATTGTTCAAGCGACAGTGATGGGTTGGTTGACGATGGTTGACGTGTTTCTTTTCGATAGTCAGGCTGCCAGAATTGCCAGGATCTGCCAGGGTAGCAAAAGGCCTCTCAGCAGTTTGGTGGAACACCGAAAGAGGGGTGACAGGGGATTTGTTCGACCAACGGATTTCCCCAACTACAAACGCGTCCATTTGCGGATGTAAACGTGTGCTACTGGGTTCTCGGTGACGAGTGATGGGTGACCAAGTCCAATCAAGCCATCAGTGAAAAGGAGTCAACGCTGAGGATCGACCGATTTCATCTATATATTTATACGTAATTATGATGAGTTTCCATGGCTATATGCTCAATACACCTGAACCACCTTGCGCCTTTGGCATTTCCAAGTCACTTTCTTATTCATGTAGCGTTGAGCTAATCATGTTGGGGCACACCCCCATGTTCGATTTGAACTTGGCTGTACGCCAGATGACCCTTCCGGGCAGCATGGTGCTGGGCCCTCAGTCAAACAGCCGAGCTTGGCATCGTTTGCATCCCTTGTGGCCTACCGGCCAGACACCGAAACTCACGGAAGTATCCTGTCGCAGGTGGGTGGTTCTTCTGAGATTGGTACTTGTGAAGCAGCGTGATGTCCTAAAAGGGATGTAACAGGAACATGAATGTCTTGCTGAAAGTATCATTCGCAAGTGCACATGCATGTTCAGCTCGGAGTGTTTCAGGAAGAAACAACGATCAACTGGTTCTTCACCGTCACACCGTCACGCCCCACCCTGTTGGACACCCAGGGCGGCCGCGCCCCGCAGTCCTGGTGTTGGAATTCTCCACGGACTCTTGAGTGTGGCGACTTAGCCACGGACGCGGATGCCGTGCAGAGACCAGCGAGTCTTGGAGTGAAAGAAAGCATGATTATAGGGGTCCTTCTTGATCCTTCTTGTGTTTCTTTGGCAAGCTCATGATTTACTTAACAACTCAACTGTTTATTTTAGACATCAATCGTTCGTTCCTGGTGCCCATATACCGTGCCTTGGCGCCGGCGAATCGAATGGGTGAGGCTTCCTTCATGAGGTCCTGAACTCCGATGCAGGCGGATTTTCCAGTTTTCGGGTCGAGAGGTGAGTGCTGGCTGCGAAAATAAAGCTATTAGAACCAAGTGCATCGCTTCTAGTAACAGGTGCCTTACTAGTAGTAACAAGAAGCTATTAGAAAGAAGAAGCTTCTTTTTTCTCAGGCCACAGGGCCTGGTCACGGCCACAGCATCTGGCCACACGTAGGAAGGTAAGATGTCTTAGACATGTCCTGCACAGTTTGGTCAGACTTTTTGCGTGCAAGTCTCACATTGATATTGTCATTGGAATCGAAAAAAGTTTGCGAAAGCTGTTGGAATTCGTCTCACATGTCCGGTGGGCATTTCATGGCTGGTTTTGCGCGCAACTTGGCAGCTTCACTTCTAAGCTTGCTTGGATTCATCAGCATGTTCCTGGTGTCTCCAAAGTACGAACATGTGGACATAACTCCAACACCCGCAAGGTCATTACTACATTGAGGTAAGTATGTCTTGAAGGTATAATTGTAAGTCCGTGTTTGTGGTAAACAATAGGGAACCTTTACCCTCCCACAAGGTGAGTTCAGAACGAGCAACATCATCTCTGTTCTTTTGGCATAATAGCTAATAGCTTGAGTGGTCACAGAACCTCACAACATCATTGTTGGTTTGCGTTGCCTTCTCAATGTTTCATGTTCATCATGTTGCATTAACATCCGCTTAGATGCTTTTGGACTCCTGCCCTTCTCTTTTATCCTACTCACCTTCGTTTGCTCCACTTAGAGTCCAATCTTGTCCAGGTCTCTTGGATGCTGAAACCGTAGCCTTCCTCGCAGCTTTGCAAGCCCGGGTGGGGAAGCCTGAGTTGTGCGAGATCCCAATCCGGGGTGCATTGATCCTCAGATGGCTCCTAGCAAATAATCGGAGCGTTAGCACCATGAATTAGCAATCGGATCCGTTGTAATTTGACGTCTTTCTTTCTCCAGGTCGCTCAAGTCATGCACTTTTTTGGGTGCAACATAGTCATGAATACTCTCATGAGGCTTTGTGTGATTCATTTTGTCGAACCAGACGTGTTCGATGTAGCTCTTTGTGCAGCTGCTGAATCCAATTTCATGTCTGATTGATCCCAGACTAAAGATACACCATGCCCATTACAAGTAGAATGTGGCCACTAGATTCTGCGCTGGGGACTCGGCGCGCAAAGCATGCACAGAGTGCGAGCTGCTCTCAGGAACAGCATTTCGGCGAGGTGGGACACGTGCTGTTGTTTTCTCGTTAACAGTAAATAAAAGAGAAGTGGACGAGTATGGACAACCTCCCTTAGGTGCGACCAGTATAAGTGTTTTGGCCTTCATTGAGTTGGACCAAAGATTGGTCGAACGGCTTACTGTAAGTGTTTGGGGTTCAACCCAAGGTGGGCGGCTATCGCATCCCACGCTCGTCATCTCCAGTACTGGGTTCGACTCCAGTTGGTCGATGTGTTTGAGGACCAAGCAAGGCCAAACACAGCCTAGTGCTGCAGTCCTGCAATATGGGCTATTCACGGCGAGTGATGCTGAGCATTTTGAATTGTCCAACTTATTTCCCAGAGATGTTGATAATCTCCAAAGATTCAGACATCAATCAACCCCACGAAATGAGATCAATATGACTTTGACTCTGCTTGTTTGGCCAGTGGTCTTGTATACCTTGTCAATCTAAGGTCACGTGTATGTAACAGTAATCCAGCTAGAAAGCAACAAAAACGTGTTTTCTTCCAAGTGTGAGCAGTCTCCTTGAAGATCACAGGTAATACCTCACATCTACAGTTGACTTGATTTTGAAACACGTGCAGGCAAAAGTACTGCAACAAGCAGGCGAGGTCTGTAGCCGAAGTGGATCTGGAAGATCAAGATTGTAGCTCCCTGGCATTACCACTAGGAACAAGAAGCTACTAGTAACAAGGGCATCGCTACTAGTAACAAGGGCATTATTACTACGAACGTAGCAAGAAGCTACTAGGAAAAAGGCCCCGTAGAAGGCGGTGGAACATGGTCCGACCTGTGATTCTTCTGTGATTCTTCTGTGGGCCCACGAGTACCCGGAGTCGACCTGTGCGTTTCTCAGAAAAAGGAGTACAGATCTAGCTGTTACCTATAGGGTCCAGGTAGGTATTTAACTATTCCATTATTTTGGAGGCCATCGCTATTAGGTTGGAGGCAAGTCTTTTGTGGATATCGTATGTTTCGCATTGTTTGGTTGACGCATGTTTCATGTTTGATATGTATATAATATATATATATATGTTACATGTTCATTATTTGTTGAAATCAGGTGTCTTTCTTTGCGCTTTTGTTGCACCTTTCACTGTTCTTGTTCCTTTCCTTTGCCCTTTGCCTTTTGCCTTTTATTGGCCTTTTCTTGTTTTCTTCCCTGTCCTTGGTGTTTGTTTCCTTTATATTGGGTTCCTGTCCCGTTTCCTTTCACCAGTTCCTCATTCCCTTTCCCAGTAGCAGAAAGCATCATTTTATCCAAACCCCTGAAACACAATAGGAGCACAAAGAGCGGTTGGAGCTTGGAACGGATCAATAGAGAATGACAAAACCGTTTTCATTATCACAAGTCTAATTTTGACTCAAGCTCAAATAAGGCAGGTCATGACTCGGGGTGCCACATTGCTAGGTACTTCCGTGACGTTCGGTGGGTTGCTTCGGACTTGGTTGGCCCAAGCCGGAGTGTCTATTCTGGCGCACTTTACCGCTGGGGCATTGCTTGAGTTGGTGGATCAAACTTCAGAGTCTTTAATAACGGCGGGTTCCTATACGTACTATATATAATCTGGAGTACCTATAAAAAGGCCTCCCCCCAAAAAAACACCGCGTCCAAAGCCCTAAATTTGGTTTTGAAGCTCTTCCCAGGTGACCCTATTTTGGACCCCCCGATTTCAGGGACTCCCTATTAGAAAAAATGCGACAGAGTTTCTCTTATTGGGGGGGTGTTTTTTAATAGGTTGACAGGATTATTTCCTGTGTTTATATCTGATTTGAGCAGCTAGTGAAGAGCTGATGTGGGTGGCACAGTGGATTTGTTTTGATGGTTGTCACCTTTGGCCCCTGAGCAAACGCTTTTGTCCCTGTGTGGTTCCTTTGTTCCCTGAGGGAAAGCGGAGCATCAGTGGCAGACTGCATTGAGCTAACCTGTCATCGGATGGCGGCTGTTGAGGGTGTCCGTCTCCTCAAGCATGATCAGCTGGTGTCATTGCTGCATGGTTCACGTCACATGCTGACACAAAAACCACAGGAGGCGACAGTGGGTATGGTCAGTGGTGCATTCCTTTGACCATGCGAGCTTCGGTGGGTCTAGGTGCCGCTTTTGAGCGGTTGGATGTGGCCGCACCCAGGGCAGCGGACATCAGTGCATTGAAGCAGGAAGCTAAGTTGATGGCGCACTTGGGTCGTGCAGGGCTGCTCAAAAGGTGTTCAAAACATCGCCACATCAAAACCCTTCCACACTAAAAACCGTCTAACCTGATATTTCCCTTTGCTTTGATGACTTGTTGTGCCGTGAGGCACGTCGGCTCGAGGGAATACGACAGCAGACTAGCTTGTCCACCGAAGACCTGCCTCACCAAAAAAGGAAGAGAGAGAGAGAGTAGTGTAGAGCTGGCAGAAGATCGAGGATATCCAGATGGCTTCAACATGCAGGCGCTGTCTGATGTGATTCAAGAGCTCAGTGAGATGTCGAGACGCAAGGAATCGAAGGATAGGATGTCCAACGCTAACGCTTCCCTCTATGCTCTCCTCCCTGCAACCTTCCCGTGCACCTTTTAATCATTGAAGCCGATGCTCATGCCTTTGCTGATTCCAGCCCGAGCAATGCCAAAATATCTTTGGTTTTCTAATTCTCCGTAATTCTCCCTGTTCTTCCAGAGGCCGAATGGCCCACTGTGGTGTGCTCACCACCAAAGGTCCTTGCAGCCTTTTGCAAGGCTTGGGAGTGCGGGCTGCCTTGCTCCTACAAGACAAGACTCAGAAGACTCAACCAGCGGGCGTGCTATGTATAACAGATTTGCATGAGCCGCGGGCGTTGCTTTCTAGGTTTGAGCATGTTTGAGCCCGTCTTAAGTTCAGCCGTGCAGCAGCCTCCCTCCCCCCTCCAGGGCCCTCCTGTTTGCTCCAGACCTTCACTGACTTGCAAGGCAAAGAGGAAACTTCCCCCTACCGCGCTGCGGGGCAGACAAAGATGGGGAGATTTGACATAGAAGTGCCACTCATGCAATGCTTTTGCAGTTGCAGGTTCCTATCAGGCCATTGTATTGTCCATTGTCGGTGTTTGTTTTGGGTTCGCCAGGCCATCAGCCTAACCCAGCTTTCGATGGTGATGCCTGGGTTTTGGGCGAAGCCGAAGGCTGAGGCCGTTGGCGCCCTGTTCGCCGGAATGGTCTGTTGATCGATGTGATTGGGTCGCTAGCGCCGCCACTTTGTAGTGGTGGGTTGCATCGTTGAAAACGAGGGTGAAAAGCAAACCGCCTTTCTATGACCAAGTGGAAAGAGATGCGATTAAACACGTGCATTTTGCTGGGTGAGTGTACGCACGACATCTATCAGGTTGACCAAAGACCAAAACATTTAGGACTCGTAAAGGCGGTTGGCCTTTTCAGCCCCGTGTTTTGGTATTGTTTTGCTATCCCCATACTCCGGTAGTCTCTTGCAAAAATGGTGTTGCTGGGAGTCCAGGTTTTTGTGAACCTTGATATTTTGTAGGGTCACACTGTTGGACCTTCAACGCTTTTTGTTTGATTGGTTGGTAAACTGAGTTGGCAGGTGGAATGTCGCAGAAACGGCTCATTGGAGATGTTCTGTTCTTTGCAGACATTTTTCATCGCCAGGTGACTACGGCGACCGTGGCAATGGCTTTGGTGTGTCGCAGATAGAGGCGCATCCAGTGCCCAAAGGTCCGCAAACCACGAGGGTGATTTGGGAGCTTGGGTTGTCCGGTTTTCTAACCTAACATGCTACCTTGCTTGGTTGGTAATATCGAATCTAATTGCCTAATCCTGAATGGTCTTTCTGTCAGGGCTGAGATTCATAGGTTTGGGTTTAATTAACTAGTTGTTTCCTTCCAGTGGAGTTGCTAGCTTTTTGTTCAACGTCCATGTTTTCCACCAGGAGCTCCAAGCAATCAAATTAAATGTTGGACATGTGCTTAATTCCCAATGTCCCAATTGTTCCAGTTCCCTACCAAAAATCAACTGTTGGTCGCAAGAACTGCCGGTTCTTGAACTTTCAGTCCATTTCCTCGCAGCCCCCGTGGCTCAAGAACGAAGCGCCCCACGCGGCCGCGTGGCCGCGGGGGCTTGGGGGTGGCGTTCGCTGAAGGCGGCGGGGGTGGGCTGTCCATGAAGCTGAGTGAGGTTTGAAATGAATCAGAAGTTAAATATTGAAAATCACTGAAATTGGAAGGTGTGCATGAGAATTTTGTATGTTTTGACTCAGAGTTTTTCATGGAGGATGTCACGTCATGATCCTTGTTGAATGGCGTCTCAGAGGTGTATTAAAGTTGGCAACCAACCCCAATCGACCTGGCTTTGGACACTTGCCATGCTTGCCATTGGTTGCACTTTAATCAGGTCACTTGGGGTCAATGACTTTCTTTTGGGCTAGCAGACCAGCGGGAACCAGAAACGAGCCCAAACAGCTGGACAAAGACCGAGTTTTGCAAGTTGTGTTGGGCACCGGCCACATCTCGCCGCTTCTCAGGCGGAAGTCATGACCGAAGAGGATCCACTCCTTTTGGCCAAGTCACGAGACCCAGATCGGGATCGAGGTCGAGGTGGCTGTGGCGGCGCACCTGGGGAGAAAGCGGTGTCAAGACTTTCCATTTGAGGTTGATCCCGTTCAGGCAGGCCCTTGGACAAGCCGAGGAGGAGCAGCTTTCATGCTCAAAACGGATGTTTTTTTGAGCCAAAATGTATCAGTGGTGCCAGTGGTGCATATAAAAGACCTTGCATGATTTGTTCATGGGAGGGATGCGAAAAAAACAAGTGCGAAAAAACCAACGAAGGGCTTGATCTAATCCCCTTTGACACGTCGATAGGTCCGATAAGACAGGCTTGGCAAGCTGCTCAGGGTCAGATTAGGCTATAGATCAAAAAGCTCATAACACCTGAACCCCACTAGCAAGACAAAGAAACCGAAGAATAGACTCTGAGATACTGTACTGTGAGTCCATGCAATGTTGTATCCATTTTGCGGTTGGATGATGCTGTCATGACGCAGTGATCTTGTTGTGATCTTGGTGATCCCCAAAGAAACCTCGTTCTGGTCATGTGTCATGTGCGACGTCGCGTGCGCGCCATGAGATTTGGTCTGGGGATCCGTGCGAGCCATGTTTGAAGTGTAGGCGATGAGTCGTGATTTGTCATATTGTGGTGCTGCAACGCTGCCACATATAACGCTTCCTACTAGGAACAAGTGCCACGCTAGTAGTAACAGGTGCCTTACTAGTAGTAACAAGTGCCACGCTAGTAGTAGCAGGTGCCTTACTAGTAGTAACAAGTTACGAATTTAATTTAGATGCTTCCACTGGTGCCACACGAGCATGCAGCATGCAGCATGCGCATGCTTACGTTCGAGTCTCACGTCTTTGCGCTGTTTTGTGTTCGAACGACCCCAGGGCGATGCTGACCTCGGAAAGTAAAGTGGAGGACGCGAATCCGGAAGAGAGTGCCAAGCACGTGCTTTTGGGGTGTATGAAGACCTGCAGGCCTGCTGAAGATTGGTGAAGAAGGAAGGTCAATGACTACGAGAGTTGCTGGGTATGAAGCTGATTGACTGGTTTGTACTGTGGAGTATGTGTTGGCTCTTCTCTGGGAAGCTCCTGCAGGTTTTAGGGTGCTTTGACAATCGTTTGTTTGGTACTTCCACAGGAGGCTTTTCGGATCTCTATGATGCCGTGGCTCACCTTCACGGGTGTCACATGGCTTTTCTTGTATTGCAGCTTGGAGTCATTTCTGGGTCGGTGCACACCTTCGGTTGGGGTCGAGAGGGGGAGCGAGGCATGGCGGCACCCTTTGCCGCTGGTTGATTGGCATGGTAGGAGGTCTATGGAGACTTCATGCAACTCCAGATGATCAGTTGATCAGTTGCAGTGCAAGAACTAGAAGCAGCCGAGTGTTCCCTTCAAGTCCTTGGTCGGGGATGGCAAAATGACCACTTTCAAGAGACCCCGCAGATGAAACGACTGGGAAACATCCAGCATTTTTGAGCGGACCGTATGGGTACCAACGATTATTTCATACATTTTGTTCGATAAGAAGCTCGCCCAATTGGATGTATGATTATGTAAATTGTTTATGGTACCAATAACACAACAAAAAGCTGGACACGTTTTCCGGCCCAGGAATGCACGGTTTACCCGTTCTAAGCCCCCGCATGCGTGGGCCGATGTTGAGTCAGGCTATGCGCACTTGCCGAGCTTCGTAGTGATCTCGTTGAGCACCTGGGCCACGATGTGCCTTTGTACACTCCTTGCCATGTACCTTCGCCCCAAGGCAGGGCACGCCGTGGTTTGTGTCGTTGCCCTCCGGGATAAAGCTATTTGAATTGACAAGCATTCATGAAGCGAGCAATTGAATTGGTCAATGAGTGTTCAAGAGCCGAAGAACGAGATAGTATTGCCTTCCAGCATACTCCATCATACTACTCACAAGGCATTTGTGGCCAAGCCTACGCCTGAGCTTAACCTAATGCTATACACATGTCATGTATTCTAATGAGATTAATTAGCACATATGTTACATGTTATAATATGTCCTCAAGGCTCTGCAGTTACTGGTAATAGCAATGGCCTCCAAGCTAATAGCAATGGCAATGGCATTCAACCTAAGAGTGATGGCCTCCAACCCAATACTGATGGCCTCCAACCTACTTGCGATGGCCTCTCATTTCAGGATGGAAGGTGGGTGAGGTTTGACGCTTGCCCACACTTGCCGACGCTTGCCCATTCGCACTCGCAGGCACCTGCCGCACAGGGCAAGCATGGCCTGGTGGTGGTCCTAAGTGCCTTGGTGAGCAAAAATTCATTGGAACGGTCCTTTTCCGTGAAGAAACGGCAGAACATGGAGCTGACGGCCTGAGCAGCTGTCTCAATTTAAAACGGCCAGTTCAATCCTCCAAGTGAAACCTATCATGACATCGATGCCGTATTCTGATCTAACTGTCGGGGTCCTTCGGTGCTGTTTGGTTTCTATCGAATCAAACAGGGCTGTCGAAAGGAACGCTGCTAAAGCAGGGGCACCCCTGTGAATAGTTCAGTTTCAATTCAAAAGCACCGTTTCATTCACTCTACAAAGAGGTTTCCGGGCTATGAACAGTTTCAGTTGGTGTGTGCAGTTAGCCTAGGCTTATGTAAGTGCGAAAACAGTCAAAGGGCCAAACGGTAGTTTGGTAAGGCCACGTGGTGTTGGGCATGACCAGTTCAGATCTTCTGGAAGTGGCTGGAAAATTGCCTGGCAAATGTCATCAGATACAGAAGGATGTGCGGAAGATTGAACAACCGCATCAGGCTTCATCACATGACCCTTCATCACCTGCCAAGCTGTCACACATGTTCATCACACAAATCGCATTTCTGTAGCTTCTATATACGTACTATATACTTTGAAGCTTTCGCTCACCGGCTTTTCCCAGATATGTTCAATCTTGTGGTTGTGCATTGATCTACTCGGTCCATGTTTGTACACTATATTAATTTGACCACTCACAAGCAGAATATGGCAGAAACACCCTTCTGGCCCAGAACACGATTTTTTTTACTTTTGACATATGAACACAGGTGTAATTAATATAGAAGAAGTTCAAGTGTACAAAACGTTTAATCCATGGAGACGACAATTCCTTTTTTTGGAATTGGCATTGCACGTGGAGCATTACCCCAGTTGCTGGTTGGTGAGTCATTACATGTCATTACCCAGCCTGCAATTGTTCACAAATGAAGCTGCCTTTGAGGCCTTTTCTCTTTGTGCCTGGGCGTTTCTGGCTTAGTTCTTTGTCCGTTCGTTTTTGTAGGGACACTAGTAAGCCGCACAAATTTTCCAAACATCCATTGAGCAGCCGGTGCCCAGTGCAAGTCGGAATGAACCAATGCAAACATGCAACCAGTTTTGGTATGCAGCGACAGGGCGCGAGACTTCCAGGGAAACATGATTCATCGAGCATTGTGCAACAATGAATTATTTGTATTGTATACGTGTCTATAATACCTCGCTACTAGGAGCAAGGACGCTACTAATAACAAGGGCATCGCTAGGTGGAGGCCATCGCTACTAGTGAAGTTTGAATTTTGCATTTGTTCGATTCAATGAGGACCTCTAGTTGTTTCAACGTACCCACCCACTTGAGTTAAAATACTTTAGCGTTCTACCCACCACAGATTGTCATTTTGCCATCATGGAAGTGTTGTTGGCAGCGCACTGTAATATGTATTGTGGATTGTTGAGTTGACAGAGGTGTGTATGACCACTGACAGTTTGATCAAATTTAATGCGTGTTGGGTTTTGGGCGGGGCCACACCAGATTTGTACAACAAACACCCATCATGTGACATGCTCCCAAAATAGTTGCTTCAATTATTGCGAAACCCACCGCTTTGTGCCGTTCTGAGACTGTCTTTGGCTACTGGAACTACAGCCGTGCTGGTGGAGTGGTGCCCTTGGAGATTTGGACAATCTGAATCGATGCAACGATACAAATGGTGCGCAGATATGGCACTGGACCTCGGGATAATTTGGGTCGATAAGCTGTAATGCACAGCATTTGTCCATATATGGGATTGGGTTCGCATCTGTAATTAGACTTGAACGTCCCTTAAGAAAACAACTATATCATTTCTAAGGCAGTTCGTTGGTTTCCAAGCTTCACTTCTTTTTTTCGAGACTGACTG